TGATTGATTCATAATATATTTAGTATTCGAAATGTGCGAGAATGGAGTTCTCATGGATGTTAATATCCAGAAGAAATCAACTCCATTTCCCGAAGAGAAAATGCGGCTTTATTTCAGAGAAATGGTACTTGGTTTTGAATATCGTAAGTACCATTTTCGCGATTTTTTTTCTTTGACATTCTATTTTTTTTTTCTTATAACAAGATGAACACCTTTTTCATTTAAACCTTTAAATCAAATTAGTACATGAAAATGGGATTGTTCACCGGGGTAAATACGAGCGATTTATGAGTCAACATCGAATTATTATATGATGGATGATTTTCGGAATAAATATTCTGAAATTTCTGTTTTTAGATATTAAGCCCGACAATCTCTTATTGTCAAAAGATGGTGTGCTTAAAATTGTAGATTTCGGTGTATCTGAAATATTTATCAAAGGCAATGATAAATTGAAGAAATCTGCCGGTAGCCCGGCTTTCATGGCACCGGTAAATCATTTTGTCAAATGTTTACTTATCGCTTTATCACCTTAAGTTAATAATTAATTTCTTAATAAACAGGAACTTTGTGTAGGTGAGATACACATAGGATCTTTCGTAATATTTTTGAATTCTATTTGATTGATTTATAACTTTGCACCAAATTAATGTCTTTAAATTTATAATAAAGCTCATCATGACGAAATTTCTGGACAGGCCGCAGATATTTGGTCCATGGGAGTCACTTTATATTGTCTTGCTTTTGGACAATTGCCTTTTCGGAAGGAAAACATTCTTGATATGTATGAATCAATAAAACATGATGAGTAGGTATATTTTAATATTTATGCATAATTAGATCTTACTTTTCATAACAAAAAATTTAATTTTGTTTTTCGTGATATATAGATTCGAAATTCCGGAAGGAACAGATCCCGATTTAGCTGATCTTCTTAAAAAGATTCTTGAGAAAGATCCAAACAAAAGAATTACAATGCTTGAGATTCGTGTATGTTTCCTTTTAAATTTTAAAATAAAAGTGGTGAACCTTTTTTTTTTTAAAAAAAAAATATCTTTATTTTTAAATTACAAATAGGAACATCCATGGGTTACTGAAAGAGGAAATGATCAACTTATAACTAGAGAAGCGAATTGTGCCGAGGTGGTTACCGAAATTACAGATGCAGAATTTAATTCGGCTATCAAAACTATTAGCATTGGTACTGCCATCACTGTGGTATGTAATTTGATTTTTGATATTGAAAAAAGGAATAAGGAGGATTCTCTATTAATATTTTTTTTTAAAAAATTATGAATTTGTTTAGATTGTTGCTGGCAATAAATGGAAGAGAATGTCCAAAACACATAGTATGTCATCTGGAGATTTTGCAAAATTAAGAGCCTTGGAAACTGCTGATAATGAAAAAGAAAAAGGAGAGAGTAGTACTGCCGAAACTACAACCGGTTCGTCAATTGTTTCGTCCGAATGAGGGTGTGAATTCTGGATTTTATTTCAAATTTCAT